CGCCCCCGCCGCGGGCGCCAGCGTGTAGGTGATGTAGATGAAGAAGACGCTCCACCAGACGCCTTCGGCCGCGCTGCGGGGCGCGACGGCCACCGTCCCCAGCGCCTGCACCCCGGCCAGCAGCCCCAGCACCACGTAGCTCACCACCCACATGTAGTCCTGGGGGAAGGCGCTGCGGCTGCACAGCACCATCAAGAGCAAGAAAAGGGCCGTGGCGCTCGCCAACGCGGCGACCGCGGGCACGTGCGGGGTGCCGGGCAGGCAGTGGAAGAGCAGCATCACCCCGCAGACCAGCACCAGCACCCCCATCAGCACCGTCAGGCTGCTCTGGTTCATCTGGAAGAAGTAGCGCTGGTAAAGCCGCTCCAGTTTGGCCGACTGGAAGCGTTTGGAGCGGAAAACCTGGAGCAGCCGTCGCCAGCACTCGCCGGCCGACGGCCGCCCCCCACGGCCATCAGCCCCCTTCGGCCCCTTGGCTTCGCCGTCCTCCAAGCCCAGGTCCACCGATTTGAGTCCCAGGTCGCCCGCGGGCCCCTTCTTGCCGTAGTGGTCCTCCTGCCAGGTGCAGCGCAGCCCCCGGGGGGGCCCCCCGCCCCGCTCCATCTCAGGGTCCTGCAGGCAGCTCATGTAGCGGGGGCCGCAGAGGGCGGCGCGGGGACGGGGGCCCTTCTTGCCGTTGCGCTCCCCCCATGCCGTCTTCCGCTCGTCCACCTTGGGCACCAGGATGCCGCTGAACCACGACATGCTGCGGGCGCCGGGAGGGGATCAGCGCTCGGTCCCCCACCCCGACGCCCCGAGAGGCACCCCGGTGCCCATGGGGGGGCAAGGCAGCGTTTTTCCCCCTGGCAGGGACAGGCAGCGCGGGCAGGGAAGGGCCCTGCTGTCCCAGCCCGGGGGATGCGGACCCCAAGCCCCAGCTCTCCCGCCAGCCCCACGGCCCCCGCGGGAACAGCCGGTGCCCGGTGTTCCGGTGCCCGGTGTTTGGCCCTGCCGCGGCCGCCCCGAGCCCGTCCTCCCCGGCGCAGCGACCTGCGGCAAAGCTGGAACCGTCCCGGCCCTGTTTATCTTGAACGGCGGCCAACGGGCTGCACCGGGCACGGCGGCCCCGGGGCA